GAGCCTGCCCGCGAACATACACCCCGGTGCTCACGCCATCCGCCCGTGGCACTCACCACCCTCACACACACACATCAAAACCTTCGTTATTCCTTTTTTTTTCTCCTGTTCCGAGAGTTGCGCAACAAGCTCGGGGGCGTGGCCCGAGGTTTGACCTCGCTCTTCCCACTCGCGGGAACCTTAGCTCATTTCCGCCTATCCTATTTCCGCAAGCCACGTAGACACTTCCTTTCCCAGTGGTGCGGGGGCGGGGGAGGGGAAGGGACCCACAAACCCATAATGCCTCCCTGCAGGAGAAGAAGAGAGCGAGGGAAAGGAGGTGGGGGTAAAAAAAACCCACGGTCAGGGGAACTCTGGGTCGTGAAAATAGGCCACGTGAACACGCTGCCCTATAGACTTATGACCCAACGGCTGTAGCGCATTTGGAGGGCGGGCTCAGAGCCTAAAAGGGCGATTGTGATTGGCCGAAATCCGCACTGAAGAAGGACGGTAATTGGTTTGATTTCGGCCCTAACCATGAAGAAGCAGGTTGCTAGCACCCGCCTTTACTGCGGCGAAGTGTCACTGCTGACGTGCGAGCCTTGATCCAATCATTTGGTTATGGAACATTCTAAAACTGAGACAAGACGACTATGATTGGCTGAAACGCTAAGCCCACCCCCTGGGTGACGTGTCTGCCTATGGATATCAGTTGCCAGAGAAACCTGGCTTTATTTTGGGGGTTGGCACATGTCGGCTGCTGGAAAGAACTGGATTCTCGTTTCAGGTTTCGGGGTGGGGGTGGGGAGGAAGGGTCGATGATTTCCTCTTTTCTTCGTGTCTCTAGACAGGATTAGCTAGTAGCTTCACATTCAGGCAAAGCGGGATTCGTATCCCGACTCGCCAACGCCCAACTTGGGCAAGGCTCCTTTCTGTGTCTCGGTTTCCATGTTTGTAAAACGGTGATAATAGTACCCATCTCAGAGACGTGGACTCAGATGTGCACAGTAATAGTGCGTGTAAGGTATTCAATGTGAAGTCTGTCTCCGAACGATATTAGAAATTGTTATTTAAGATATTTTTGTAGCAGAAGAAAATTATAAATTACGCAGATTCACTCGATATATTATATTTTTTCTGCACATCATCCTCTTTCTCAGAAGAAATTTTGATAATAAATATATATTAAGCCTTACCGATAAAATAATTAGCTAGCCTGAGATTTGCTTCAAAATAGCTGAGGATTGGAATTTTCCCACAATTAAAGTCAAAAAAAAAAGAGAGAGAGAGAAAGGAGGTGGGGAAGGAGGAGAATGAGAACAAGCTAGATATGAAGCACATGCGATGAGTAGGCCTTGTTTGAATCCTGATTCGAGCACACCAATTGTAAAATTTTCTTTAAGAAGCATCGGGAATTTTTGAATGCGGAATTTAATATTCTTTAATGAAATCGGTGTCAGAATTTTTTAGTCTTTTATGGTAGCGATGTGGTTATGTTTTCAGATTGCTTTATTTTGCAGAAATAAATGTATATATTTGCGTAGCGATTAAATAATGTCTGAAAATGGCTTCAAAATACGTGGATGACTAGGATTTGCTTCAGAATAATTTCAGCGGTAGAGAGAGATGGGAAGGATATAATTGGGACCCTAGATTAATAATCGTTTTAAGCTGAGGGGTAGGCAGATGGGGTTTTCTGTATTCATCTTTTACCCTTCGTATGTATTTGAAATTTTTCATAATTCTGAAGTCATTTTTCGGTAGCTTAAAAAAGTGGGGGGGGGAGCAGTGGGTGGGGTTACAGATGAAACAAGATGGCCTTCAGTTGGTAATTGTTGGAGCTGGATGATGGATTCGCATCGGTTTGTAATGGTGTCCCTTTGCAGTTTTATTTATTTCACATTGAACTTAAGAGAAATTAATCCTTTTTTTCAAAAATTGATAAACAATGAAGTGCATTTGAAAATATAACCACAGAAAAATAAAAATTGTACATTATCAGCTTTGATGTCCTTTGTGTGAGATAAAATTGCATTGACTGATGGAAAAGAAAATCACCATCTCATATCTTTTTATGTCCTTTTCCATCTCTTTGTTTGACCTTCTAGGTCATCATCAGAAAAGCTAAGTTTGCTACACAATAAGGATCAGGAGATCTGACCCTGGTTGCAGAACCATTCCTGTTTGCAGAATACAGGGTAAGTGCCTTCCTTCTGGCCTCAGTTCACAGACAAAATCATATCACATAACCTTCCTAAATGTCTAGAAATATTTGGAAGATTAATCAGCTCCCATCTGAGAAAGTACTCTAAATTCTGAAAGGGGAAAGATACACACTAGATAAACAATATAGCCCTGTGTAATCTTTATCTCTTAATTTAAAAACATTCTGAAAATTAGTGCTCTGGAATAGTGTCACAGATTCAAATATTTTTCGCAAGAGCAAATTCATACTTGATGGATTTGATTGCCTGCTCTTCCACTTACTGTGTAATCTTGGACAAGAAACTTCCTTTGTTCCAAAGTGTCCTCATGAAAATATTTGCTGGAATGATACTTCTGGCTTTAGGAGTCATGAAACATGTTATACTCACACACATAAACACATTTTTGAATAGTAAATATATTTTTCTTGGATTTTTTAATTAATATTTTTGGTTTCTCATTTTCCAGAAGCAGCAAGTAACTACTAGAACTGAATTCTGAAATTTAAGACTTCTGGATTATCTGATCAAAGTTCTAAGTACATTTACTTTTGAGGAAATTTCTAGGACCTATAATTTTAGCTACCATTTCTAGCAGCTAGCCATTTTTTTAATATCATTTTCTTCTTTTGTTCAGACTGAAAATAATCCATGGGGTTGGGAATGTAGCTCAGTGGGTGGAGTTGCTTCTGCAGCATGCATGAAGTTCCAGGCTTGATTCCCCAGCTCTGCACAAGCCAGGTGTGGAGGCACATGCCTGCAATCTGAGCATTTGGGGGGTGGAGGCAGGAAGCTTCAAAGCTCAAGGTCATCCTAAGCTTTATAGTAACTTTTCAATCTAGCCTGGGACATGTGAGATCCTTTCTCAAAAAGATTTTTTTTTAAGAATAAGAAATGTTTTAAGATCCAAATGAGAAAGTTGATGTATGCCTGATTTTATCCAGAGACCAAGAGATGAAAAATGTAATTGATGTGGTCCCATATGTACAGTTTACTAAAGGTTTATGCCAACAAATTATTGGAGTTCAGTACATGTGTCTGTAACACATATACACAAAACTGCCTTTGGAGTCTCCTTGCATGAAGCAGTGAAAGGAAGGGGTGTGTCTCCATGTCTTCACAGCTACATTTCTAAAGGAGTTATATAATTTCCTCCATTTTTTTTCTCCTTTGTGAAAGGTTTCTCCGGAGAGCCCTTCCCTGGTAGAAGAGAAGCAATTTAGAGGATGATTGAGGTCTGAAAGTGGATCAATAGGAACTGACAAAGCAAGGGCCAGAGAGATCTGAACTAGGGAAAGCCTCAAAAGAGGAAAAGGATGTTGACTTGGATCTTTGGGAACTAGCTGAGTAGTATGCCTATGAAGCATACAGTATATGGTGGAAATGAAATGAAAGTACTTGTAAAATCCATGGATGAGCACATCCCAAAGTCATGAATAATATACACTAACCCTACTTCTCCCTAAGATCAATAACTTAGCAGATTTCTTAATTTCCTTCTAGAAGACCCAATTACAAACTTGTCTATATTGTGTATAGATATGCATATGGGTGTTTTATGATTTCCCTTGCACAAACTGGTGTCAGTATATATACTATTTTATAACTACCTATAATTACTTAACAAATAGTCTTTGTCCATTTGTAGATCTCTGTCTAACTTCTTTCATGGTATTTCTTTCACAGTGACCTTCCTTTACTTAAATCACTATAAGGTTATCCCCAGTATTTTACAGCTAATGTAATACCACATCAGCCATCTTTTATATCGATTTACAGGTAGTGTTCTAGAGCATCATTTATGCCCTTAAACCATGATAACTGAACCACTATGATACTGTTACAAGAACAACCAGAATTATCATTCATAGGGCCTAGAAATGGGTGTGGTGACTTGTGCCTCTAATTTCAGAGGTTGGAAAGCAAAAGCAGGAGGATTAATGCAAATTCCAGGCCAGCCTGAGCTTGGGAAGAGAGCCCCTTAAAAGTCACATAAATTTTTTAGGTCACATACATTTATGGATATTAGCATTTGTCCTTGAGAAAGTGATAGATTAATCAGCAATGAACATTGAGAAAATATTGCTGTAAATTTGGGGAAAATTAAAAACACACAAAGAAATAATATAGGAACTCATTTCTACAACATTTATTTGACATCATTTTCCCTGAGCACAACAAAGCCAAAGGTTGCAAAGGAAAGGCCACCCAGGTTTGCTTGTAATGCTGAGATTTGAGAACATTCAGTCTATAAGACACTATTAACCATACCTAAAATATTTTAGCAAAAAAAAGGTGTTATAATCAATATGAAACAAGAAGCACCCTAGAAGAAAGAAAAAGAACTGAGTGATTTATGCAAAGGTGGCTTGGTAATACATTTTCAAATGAAGATACCACACTATACAAGTTATATTGGCAAAAGGCAGGTGGGGGCTTAAAGATTGGGGTATAGTTGCCTTGGCAGTTGAATGCTTGCCTGATATGTGGGAGGCCCTGAATTAAACCCTTGAGGGTGGGAATATAATTTAGTGGTGGAGCACTTGCCTTAGAGGCAAGGCAGAAATAAAAGTAAAGATTTGCTGGTGCTTACTGGAGGGTGTAGTGTGACTGATCACTTTTACTCACTGTTAGGGTTGTAAATTATTGCAGGTTTTGAAGGTAAAACAATATAGCACCATGTTAAAAAGCCTTAAATATGTTATGCCTTGATTCACTCCAACTTGGAGTGTTGGAAAAATGAAAAAAAAATCTTTCATAGCCCAAAAGATGTATATTATAACCTTCATATGGGTACACGATTTTTTAAAGGATTTTTTTTAAAGATGAGATCCAAGATTTGATGCATTGTGCTTACCTATACTTCAATACACAAGTAGAGGCAAATATAAAAATATGTTATAAATGCTTTGGATTGTTCTAGAGCTAGCATGTAGGCATCTAGTGGTCAAGCTCTAGTGGGGCTTTACTTATATATAAACGAGGGAGAGGAAGTTGAATAAAGGTAGGTATGCTAACTAAACATTTAGTAGTGGGATTTGGGGAGCAGGGAAGAGACGCACAAAATGGAGTAAAAATTTAAGCACTGTGTGCCAATATATAATGGCATTATTTTAAAGTTCCTGGGGTGATATTAAACTTCTGGGAAAGGAGTACAGAGCATAGTAAATAGTAAGGCTGTCCTTAAGCATGTAGGCACATCAAGGAGCTTTAATCCCAGCACCTGGGAGGTAGAGTCAGTCCTGGCTTTTATTTACTCTGGTCATACACACTTTGCCCAATGTGTGGACTTTCCTATAGAAATGTCAAGGCATTGCATTTAGCATAGGAATGTGTATGAATGGTAGAATTCTTACAAAATGAGTAAGACTATAATTAATAACAAGGATGTTTCATAAATTCAGCTGTCATTCTCAGGTTTATTGGTAAGGAAGTGCTGATGATCAGTGTGGCATCCAAAATGGTTCCTGGGTGATTTCATTGTTTTAGGATTTTTTTTTTTTTTTTAGTTTTATGGGATAGTTATAGTGAGTCCCAGGGTGGGCTTTCTGGAATTCACTCATTCTCCAAGGTCCTTTTTATCCTATTCACAATTCTACATTTTAAAAAAAGAAAAAAACCCTAGCTATAGCATTTTGTGAACATGGGAGTTTAAAAGATAATGGCTTTTCTAGCTACCATCACCACAGAACCTTTAAAGGGCGTATTTTTACGTCTTAAAATAGTGATTTTCATTCCTACGTGGTTAGCTTCTGTATTTGCCAGTTCTAATGTTTGGAAGGCTGGTATTGCCTTTCACTATCTGCATGGAACTTTGTCCTTTGAATTAAAGGATATTTCCATAAATTGCATAATACCTTAAGCGCCAGTGGCTTTCATTTCTAAGCAATTCTTAAGTCTGAATTTTCCTTGGCAATTCCATGACACCTAACCACATGATTGGCTAGATCTGGCTTTAATTAAAGCTGGACTGTCATCCTTTTCTCAGAGGTTTCCCTGAATATGTAAGAGTCAGGTTCTACACATTTACACACCTCTTTAAAACAAACAGGGTTGCATTGCTCATAAGAATTGTGCTTAATTTTTCCTGTGCTATCTGTTCATTTTAGGCTCCCTTTCTGTGCTACTTACCTATTTGCCTAAACATTGAACAGCTTTTAGTGTCACTATATGGGCCTCTGCTTAAATAGAGTATTCTGCAGTGGGCATATGTAATTCTTATTACTGTCTCCCTGATGAATATGTAAATGTACACAGTTTCCCGTTACAAATACCACTTCAGTGAATATCTTTGTATCTCCATTCACGTGGGGAAGTGTTTCTGTGGCGTTCTAAGTTAGCTGTTCAGCCATAACGTGGCATGCTTGTAGCAGCCTGTAACAACCAGAAATAGTTTGTCATGTATCATTTGTCTGATTTCTTCCAACTCCATGTGGCAAATCAAGATCTCTTAGAATTTTCCTTCATATGTTAAGACACATTTGTAATTTTTTTCTTGCATATTTCCACAAAAGTTCATCTTCATTTCAGATACCTACTTTCCTTTTTAGGTTGTATTCCCACTTCATCTTTCCAGACCATCCTAGGAGATCTGTCAGATTCCATCTGGGAAATTACTAGGAGTCCTTGGAAGGGAAAGAAGGAAGATTGTGTAAGTCAAGGAGGTTGTTTAATGAGTTGTGCTATATAAGAGTAGCAGGAGACTTATTTTTTTTTAAGTTTTCCAGAATTCTCTGTGTGAAATTCCTCTGTTCTCAATGAAAAGGTTCACTGTCTCATAGTATATGCTACCAGCTCTACAGCAGTTACTGAAATCTCCATCTCTGCTCTGACCTGAGTTTGAACATTCTGTGTTCAAGTGCACACCCCAGATAGAAAAAGTCCAAAGCTAAGCATCTTTCTCCTCTAAGCAGTTTACTTGTATATATACCATCTCATTTGGTGATGATACAAATAAAATCATCCATCCTCAAAACCTGAAAGTTGTCACTGACACCTGCAGTTTCATCTTCCAGCAAGCAGTCCCTGAGATGTTTTATGCAAATAACCATCATGGGACTAATTTTGCTTTCTGGTGGTGTCAAATTAATCCTTAAAAACCTGCTTTTGATTAACTACTCAGGCTTAGTTGTTCAGAACCCAGTTTGACTCTGACCTTCAATATTGTATTCCTCTGTGTGTGTTTCTCTTCACTGCCATTAATACTAGTTAAGGCCTACCTACACTTGGATACGCAAACCTTTACTGTTAATTCTTTTTACCTGCAACCCATTAAACTACTCTTGCTTATTACTTTCAAATCCTTATTCTTGTTCCAGAGTCTTAAATTTCAGATCCACTTCCTTCTATGGTTTTGTCAAAATCTCTTTCTCTAAAATTAAATCCCTGTCTTTTAAATAGCATCAAGAAACAAATTTGTGGGCATGTCTGATGAGTTGTTGGGTGAGGCAAGGCTTGTGGGTGGTAGTAAGGATTAGAGAAAGGAGAGGATAGAAGTGCACTTATAAATGGTCCAGAAATAGGACCTGAAATCAATATCCAACAGATTTTGGCATGTGTTGTGCTCTGATGGCTCTCAAAGTCACCATAGTAAACAACCAAATAAAATACTTTATATATTACAGTGGTTGGAATAAAAACAGGGTTGAATGAGTTCCAGAAAGCAGGCTTCTCAAACTCGTGGACAACAATCTGCTGAAGAAGACAACTTTAAGAAGCCAACTCGAAGCAACATGCAGAGAAGTAAGATGAGGGGAGCTGCCTCAGGAAAGAAGTCGGCTGGTTCACAGCCAAAGAATCTTGAACCAGCCCTCCCAGGAAGATGGGGCAG